TTCATTGTTTGATTGGGGGGCTTCATTTTCCTTTTTTTTTTTTTTTTGCTTTTTTGTACTTTTTTAGGTTTTTTTTTTTTTTTTCTTTCCTTTTTTCACCTGGTGATTCTGCCAGTAGCAAGCCTTCTTTCCTAGATTGACAATACTTGATCATTAGAATGTATTCAAGCAACAGGTGTAAGCTGTGGAGAGAAATCCTGGCAATCAATGAACAAATCTGTGTGTGTATGTATGTATGTATATATATATATTATATTAGTCAAAAAAGACAAAAACGCAGTATTGCAGTGTGCAAGGATACCTTTCTTATTGGACTAACAAAGTATATACAAGACAAGCTTTCGAGAGTGAACCTCTCTTCTTCAGGTCAGAAGCATATATATATATTAATTAAAAAATTACACATATTTAATTATTATTTTTTTATATTCCAGCTTGTGCCGGGATTCCTGAACAGATCAGGCAACCAAGTGGGGTTATAACCAGTCCTGGTTGGCCACTAGAATATCCTTCAAGGGTCAATTGTAGTTGGTGCATTCATGCCAACCCTGGCGAAATCATCACTATTAGGTATGTGTTGCCTTAAATGACTCTACAGGGCGAGAGGAACAATTTACATTCTACTTGTCACTGTTTGTTTGTTTTTTAAACTCATATTCTAGGTTTGGACACCATTCAATTTGTTGGTTTTTGTGTTTGAAAATGGCTTAGTAGCAAACAATGTGTGACGGGATTGGATGCTGATTTTGCTAGCAATGTAGATGGGGTCTACAGAGGGGAAAAATAATGCAACATCCAGTTTTCACATTTCCTGCACTCTGGACCTTGACTATACCAAACTGTTACTTAATATGATTATACAACAAAACAATTGTCGGTTCCAGAAGACAACCGACCACAGAGGTTACTAAAGGCCGAGATCGGCACAGAAATAAAAATAGAAAAAAGTTTATTCAAACATATAAATATACAATACCATCATTGTGACCCTGACCATCGATCATTAAAATTAGACAACGTTGTCCACAGACCTCGTTCACACTCGCATTCATCCAGGATCGGCCCCACATATGAAAATAATAATTTAATCTTGATATGCTGTAGACGGAATAAGCAGACCATGGTATTCAAGGTGGCAAAGATGATTCCCAGGGTATGAGAAATTAACAATTACTTTCAACAGGGTGAAACGAAGTTCTCTCAAAGTAATACTGTAGTTGAATATTGCTGCTACAGTGTTTCTCGAAAGCCCCGGTAAGGGAGGAGCGAAACCTGTAGACATGTTACGTATGTGGACGGCCTTCCACATGGTTACCACATATGGATGATTACCTTACAATATGGGAATGATACATAGACAATAAGACCGGCGATTGCAATCGAATACCCTCGGATTGGAGACGGCAACCCAGATTTAATTCTAGTGGGCAGATGGAATTTGGTCATTGAGAACAGCAGTTAAGAACACCAGAAGCGTGAGTAAGAACGCCAACTACCATATACAGATATCCTCTCATTTTTCCATAAAGAGATGCGGGGTGTTTCCTGCTTCAAAGTTATTTTAGCCACTTATGAAAACTTTCATCGATATATACTGCTACAATAATCTGGGACTGTAAATAATACACAGTTAGTACACCAGCTTCATTTGGAGTGATCGTTTCATGCCGGGTTGTCTATTTGTGGTTTAATCAGTTTGACATGGACGCTGTTCATTCAGACTCTTCAATTGCAAGAGTGGATGCACGATAATAGCCAGTTTTGGCCTCTTGAGGTTATTCACCATGAGAAACACTGTAGCAGCAATATTCAACTACAGTATTACTTTATTGAGAGAACTTGCTACTTCGTTTCACCCTGTTGAAAGTAATTGTTAATTTCTCATACCCTGGGAATCATCTTTGCCACCTTGAATACCATGGTCTGCTTATTCCGTCTACAGCATATCAAGATTAAATTATTATTTTCATATGTGGGGCCGATCCTGGATGAATGCGAGTGTGAACGAGGTCTGTGGACAACGTTGTCTAATTTTAATGATCGATGGTCAGGGTCACAATGATGGTATTGTATATTTATATGTTTGAATAAACTTTTTTCTATTTTTATTTCTGTGCTGATCTCGGTCTTTAGTAACTTCTGTGGTCGGTTGTCTTGTGGAACCGACAATTGTTTTGTTGTATGTTCCGGCTGGTTACAGACCATGTGGACAGGCACTACATATTTATGGGTTTAAATATTTCTATGCTTGGATCTCTAGAGGATTGTTCTTTTCCCCTACTTAATATGATTATTAATGTGGCTCACAAATCTGTATGTAAAGGCACCCAAACCCACAGAACCCATTTTATTCAAGGAAATTGTAAGGTTAATTTGCCTTTAGCTAGTGCTCAGAATATGTACTTCTCCTGGGTTGATGGAAAAGGCACACCTAGACAAGATGATCGAGATCTAATAAGGGACTGAAAAGCGTCCCCTCTTAACCCGATCTGGCTGCAGACACTCGTCATTGAACCCTCTTATATAGCCATTGAAATTAATTACCAGGAGATCTTATACTACAAACCAGAATACTAATTTCTTCATGAGGACCATGAAGACCATGAAGATGATGACCCTGTGATTACCAGGGCACACTGCCTGGTATAAAATGTGAATGTTCTTATTAAACTTTTCCCTCATTGAAGGTTCACTCTCTGGTCTGAGGTTTCTATAAAATCTTCACTTATTGTGGAATGGAGTCTGGCTTTTATTCTGATCCAATGGCTTCAGTATTTTGACTGAGATGCAACCAGTATACAGATCTGGAAAGTAAGAAGTCTTTACTTTCATACTTGTTAGGGGTTAGCTACTTACAATTATGACGCAAGAGGGTCAGCCGGACAGCTGGTATTTGCAGACAGAAATCTGGAATGGTAGCCTCCAAGATATCTCCATAAGGTTTCCTTTACTATTTATAAATTTTTTCAATTATGCGGCACCAGGGACTTAACTTGCCTCCAGTGAGGTGACTGCTACTTATTTTAGAAATCCTTCCCTGAGTGCTGCCAGATGCGCCCTACATTGCTAATCTTCCTTCTTACCTTACTTTGACACAATGACAGTCCACTTCCTGATGCAGAATCTTATTATGTCATTTGTTAGGAAGAGCTGTTAGTTCATAACCATAAATGCCATAAAATGATTTGGGTAATGCTTTATGCTTTTTTGTTATACTGTAACCCTTTTACAGACAGATATACAAATAGCATAGCGAACTTGGCACAGAGGCAGTCAGGTCTGCAGCTGGCTTTAATGTGTACATTGAGGATTTGGGCTATTTAACATTTTACCGTTTTATTTTCCAGTTTTCAGGAATTTGATATCCAGGGATCGGCCACTTGCAACTTTGACTGGTTATCTATAGGGCCGTCTCCAAATTCTGATGGAGCCAGGGCATGTGGCTCTACAATTCCAGCACCATACACATCTGTTCAAGATCACGTTTGGATCAAATTCCATGCCGATGACCGCATTTCTAGAAAAGGTTTTCGGCTATCCTATATTGCAGGTAGAAGTAATATTGTGACAGTTGGACATTTTAGCTCTGACTACAGAAAGGCTGTTTGAGTATTAGTTGTTGGGTAATGCCTGTAAAGTACAAATCATTCTGCTTTGCATTTCTCAACATTCATGTGTCTGTAATAGGCCTCGTTCACATGGACCGCAAGGGGGCAGTAAAGCCAGGCAGTTGATCTGTGGTTTTACTACCCCCTGATCGCCTGCTGCAATGAATAGGGCTGTCCGTGTGCATTGCAATAGAAATTGATGTATCTTGCTGCACTCTTTACCGGATAAAATGAAAACCTGTCTGATCCAGTTGGGTGCTTGAGTCATTCTGAGCCTGATGAAGGGGACCCTGTGAGGCCCCAAAAGCGCTTGCATTTATGACAAACGTGTCATTAAATTTATCTTCACGTTTATACTGGAGTGCTGGTGACGTTCTTGGACTTCATGACATTGCAATAGAAAATTCCCAGAAATGAAAACTGCATTCAGGAGGCAGCAGTATTGTTCCTAAACACCGACCAGCTGCTGCTCCACCACCCTCTGAAAAGCAATCCACCTTGGATTGCTTTTCAGAGGGCGGTTGAGGCTGCCGTCGTGTGAACTCATGTTAGCCTTACCGTACAGTGTTGCCAAAAGGATTTTTTTAAATTTTTTTTTTTTTGTTCTCTATTTTTAAGGAAAGAAAAAATGTGAACGGAATCGGTTCCGCTGCGACAATGGAAAGTGCATTTCGGAATCGTTGAAATGCAACCGCATGGACGATTGTGGCGACAATTCTGATGAAAAGCTGTGCCCCAAGTTCAGTCACCCCACTGAGGTCTCCTTTCAGCCCTGTGCCGCCAACCAGTTCCAGTGTCTGTCTCGTGTCACCAAAGCCTACACCTGCCTGCCCAACTCACTGAAATGTGATGGGAATATAGACTGCTTGGATCTGGGGGACGAGATTGACTGCGATGTTCCCACATGCGGCCAGTCGCTAAAATACTTCTATGGGGCATTTAGCTCCCCCAACTATCCTGACTTTTATCCACCTGGCAGCAACTGCACGTGGCTAATCGATACGGGAGACCGCCGTAAGGTTATATTGCGGTTTACAGACTTTAAGCTGGACGGCACCGGTTATGGGGACTATGTAAAAATCTATGACGGGCTGGAGGAGAATTCTCGTAAACTTTTGCGAGTTTTGACTGCTTTCGATTCTCACGCCCCGCTTACGGTGGTTTCTTCCTCTGGACAGATCCGGGTGCATTTTTGTGCTGATAAGGTCAGCGCAGCAAGAGGATTTAATGCAACATACCAAGTGGATGGCTTCTGTCTGCCTTGGGAGATTCCCTGCGGTGGGAACTGGGGCTGTTATACAGAACAGCAGCGCTGTGACGGCTACTGGCACTGCCCGAATGGAAGAGATGAGCTGAACTGTACCATGTGCCAAAAAGACGAATTCCCATGCTCCAGAAACGGTGTCTGCTACCCTCGTTCTGACCGATGCAATTACCAGAATCACTGCCCCAACGGGTCAGATGAGAAGAACTGCTTCTTTTGCCAGCCCGGGAACTTTCACTGCAAAAATAATCGCTGTGTCTTTGAGAGCTGGGTGTGTGATTCGCAGGACGACTGTGGGGATGGCAGCGACGAGGAGAATTGTCCGGTTATCGTCCCCACAAGGGTGATAACTGCAGCAGTGATTGGAAGTCTTATATGCGGGCTGCTGCTAGTTATTGCACTGGGATGCACTTGTAAGCTGTACTCTCTGCGCATGTTTGAACGCAGGTATGTGAAAATGCTTAGTATCAACTCTGAGCTATGATCCCTTCCACTTGACAATCCCAATTCTTGTGTCACGACACTGAAAGCCTCTGCAGTCTCCAAAGTGTTTTAACACCATGCCAAAAATAGCTAATAAGCATGGATAGGAGGGGGATAATCCCTCCCTTTTAGCTTAAAGACCCGCTATAGTGTGAAAGAATGCATTCTGATAACTGTATGTGGTTAATCCCTACAATATTAGAAATAGGCGTTCATATCCTAAATCATTTTTTCACATGCCTTTTTTTCCCTGCTTTTATATGCAAACCTAGCTATTAGGGATGTACCGATACCAGTATTGGTGCCGATAGCGAGTATTTGGGCGAGTATTCGTAATCGCCCAAATGCTCCGATGTCTAGCCCGATACCTGAGCTTCCAGTATCAGGAAGCCGGGCGCCGCGTCATTACACGGATCCTGGCTTCCTGATTGGCCAGAAAGCCGGCTCCATGCTCCCTCGTCACAAGGTTATTACACGGCGCCTGACTTCCTGATTGACCAGCTTCGCGACCAATCAGGAAGCCGGGCAGTGTGTAATGACTCGCTGCCCGGCTTCCTGATTGGTCGCGAAGCTGGTCAATCAGGAAGTCAGGCGCCGTGTAATAACCTTGTGACGAGGGAGCATGGAGCTGGCTTCCCAGCCAATCGGGAAACCGGGCGCCGCGTCATTACAAAGCTCCATGCTTTCTCATCACCTAGACCGGGCAACGTTGCATGGTATAGCACATATATAAGCGTCGCCTATAGCCAGTTTTGAGTGGCAGTTTTTTTTGGGGTTCTTTTATTTGCGATGTCACGTGAGTGCGCATTTTTAAAGCGTGACATTTTTGGTGTGTATTTACCCGACGTGACCCAGTCTTTTATAGATTACCAAAAATTTGGTAATAATGTTTTATAACAATGTAGGGAAAACTGATTTTTTTTTTCAAAATTTTCGGTACTTTTTTCGTTATATAGTAAAAACCGCAGTGGTGCTTAAATACAACCAAACTAAAGCTCTATTTGTCCCAAAAAATGAAACCAAATTAATTTCAGTACAGCATTGCATGACTGAATCATTGTCGGAGTATTTCAGTGCAGAATACTAAAAAATGGCTTGGCCAGGAAGGAGGTTCAACACCCCGGTCGTCAAGTGGTTAATTTGAAGCAGGCTTGTGTTTTACACACACTAGGCAAAAGAAATACTGGAGGAGGATACTTCACTGATCCTTATTTCAGAACAGAATTGCCCCCCTCATGTTGGCTGTGCCTGCTTGGACTACAGCGGGATGAAAAAATGTTTTAGGAGGCGTGGCCATCATCATTGCTGATTCGCCTGTAGCCTGTCAGTCGGCACCTGACAACACCTAGTCCTGCCCACTGCTTCCAGGATTGACAGCACTGCCTCTGTTGCTGAAACCTTCCCACTGTGAGCTGTAATGTCTGGGGAGTGTGTGAGACACAAATGAAGGATGTTATCGCTCAGTCAGGAGAAATAAAGGAAGTTGTTGTTTTTTGTTTAGTCTTTTGAGGCTTATGCGTCACATAACTGGATTTGAGCTATCATACAGAAGCCTTTAGTTGTACTGTTATGGAGGTTCATTCTTTCTTTCTGTATTGTGTTACTCATACAGGCTAATCAGATTGCTTCCGTAACCTGTGTGCATGAGAGGTGTTTTAGTGTGGTAAGACTGCATAAAGTGAAGTGTTTGACCAACTGGAGATGGGAACTAAGGCGATGCACTGTGGAGTTACATTAGAAGTTGGTCAAAGTTTGAAGGCAAATTCCTGGACACGTCTTCCTGGACACAGTGTAGGTGGAGGGCCGAGTTGCTAACATCAGTGGCACAAGAGGTGGTGTGACACTGCTGTGGTTGTGATGGAGGTATATGACCAGCCACTTTCCCAATAAAGTGATGTAGTGTAAGCTCCCCGAAGTTCAATCCAAGAGGCTTTGTGCAATGTCTTTCCTGTTTATAAGTCTGATTGATTTGTCTTGTAATCGTCCTTGTCTCCGTTTTAAGGTCTTTTGAGACACAGCTGTCCCGGGTAGAAGCTGATCTTCTGAGACGAGAAGCTCCTCCTTCTTACGGACAATTGATCGCTCAGGGCTTAATCCCACCTGTAGAAGACTTCCCTGTGTGTTCTCCGAACCAGGTAAATGTCTTGTGTAGACAGACACGTTTATAATTAATTTAGGAGCCAGTTATTGCATTATTGGTGGAGGCAGATCATTTAAGTCTTTCCCTACCCCACACAAAAGAGCAGACTTCACAATAGTCCCAAAACTGTGTGTTTTCTGAAAGGAGACGCAGCTGCCACATGCAGAGCAGTCCTTTTACCTAGTACAAATTTGTGCACATCTAAGTGCACCTGTGCCTAGACTATGAACGTGAAAGCTTTACATATTCTTTACCAGCAGTAAAAGAGCTTTAACCCTTTCGCTGCCAAGGACGTATGGCATACGGACCTACAAAAGTGCTTCCAGCTGGCCAGGTCAGTATGCCATACGGACCTGGCATTTACAGTTCTACTATAAGCTGATGGTCGCTTTAGCGACCATCAGCTTATAGTATAACTGTTCAGCAGACTGTCCCCTTTAAATTAATAGCTGTCATCAGCGGCTCACAAGCCGCTGATGACCGATATTATCAA